GCCCCGCCGGGAAAAAACCCGGGGAGGCTGCCAGGCCAGTCTCCACCGCCCGCTGCACACGCTACTCCAAGGTGGAACACGGCTGCCTGCTTCTACTTTTGCAGAACTCAGGTCTTGCAGAGAGAGGTCTTGCTGTTAGCTCTCCAAACCCTCCCTCATTTGCCTTTCTGTAATGATCCCAAAACTTGCATTCCACTCATTAGCCAGCAGTTATCCCAACTTGTTACAATATAGATCTACCTGGAAACAGAAGGAAAAATATCCACCCCCAAACACTAAGGCCTGGCAGAGGATATTTTTTCCTGTGGTTCCCCCTCCCCTCCACTTATAAAAAAATTTTAAAATATAAAATAAAAAAAGCAGAACAATCCTTCATGATAAGATTAAGGTCCTTGATGTGTGACTCTGTTTCAACATGCCCAAAAACTGTCGAGCTTTCTCCTGCATGAAGAGTTGGTCTCGGGTTCCACCACAGGCTACCGCCTTCCAAGCCCTGGTCATCTACAGAGAGAAAAGAAAGCATGTGTACAACACAGTTAAGGGAGAGAACAAACACAATGTTGACATCCTGTTTTAAAAGGCTGCAAAAATAAATAAAACTAACAACTATCATCTGCTACCCAAGGGAAATAAAACTTCAGACTTAGGAGTACCCATCTTGCAATCAGGAGGAAATTGCACACTTCCAGTTTCTTTTCACAGCGGAGATGGCCGTTTCTAGCAAAGGGGGGGTTAGATTCAGCAGTTGCCCAGTTGAGTGCTCCATTTCAGGTCAACCCACATGCCCTTTCAGGGCTTTCCTTTATTTGGTTTGAGACAAAAACCCCAAAATACAAACCCACTAAGTCTCCTTGTGCAGAAAAGATTCCAGAGGGATAGCAGGAATTCAAGAACAGCTTTGGGGTTTATTCCCAACCAGTTCAATTCCTACAGGAGCTGCGCAGCCCCAGGTGTAGATTGCTGTTTAAGGATGGTCTTTGACCATTTTGGTGCCTTCAGTTTCAGCAGGGCCCCACAGTACACTTGAAGAGCTGAAAATCAGATGTGCTTCAGTCACTGCACGCAGAAAGGGCACCCATGAGGTGGTTTTGCACTCCAGAAAAACCCCTGTGAGTCCCCTGATAAATGCAGCCAAGAGATACACAATGCTCTGAACTGGAAACATCCGTTGACATGCACTGCAGGGAACAAGACCTCGAGCTCCAGCATTTGCTTACAGTAACAACATCTCACTCTCACGCAGCCACAGCATGGCTTTGGGGCTGATTTAGGTTCAGCCCACAGCTAAGTGAGCTTCCTTAGTAAATAACTGCCAGAGCTACCAACACCAGTCCGGCACGGTAAATCCCGAGAGCCCAGCAGCATCACAGACAGCTCTGCTGTCTTTGGGCAATGGGATTTTACTGCACACCTGTACTCTGTCACCACACAAGCTGTCTTACTGTCACCTTCAAGTCACTCCCAACGCTTTATTTATATGGATCTATTGGCTCTCGGAGCAATACGGCCCTGCCTAGGACAGGAGGAGAAATGAAAGTGTTTAAGTCAGGTTTATTTGAGAAGGGGAAGGAATTACTCTGGCTGAGGACTACTTATTTGTCAGAAGACAGAGCTTTCACAACAGACACCTCTAAGCCGGGGACAGATGAAATGCCTCTCACTGCAGTGTTTCAGGAAGACTGAGCTAAGGTTGCTCGGTGAAGACAACACTGCACCCAGGCTCTTCCTGGGATGCGAGAACACCCCCACACTAGCCCCCAGTTGCAGTTTCACCCCTGACCAAGGACAGCATATATTTCCATCCCCATTCAAGCTACCAGAGAGCTCCCATGACTTGGCCCAAGCAAACACTTGCAAAATTATGGTCCAAACCCCCTCCTCTAAGCCACGCTGCCTAACAAAGCAAGGATACTCCTCTACTAACACATTCTACCTGCAAATATACCAAGTGGTGAAGATTTTAAAGAGAGTACAATTAACTGTTTATGCCCCAGAGGGGCACATAGGCTGCTGTGACCCCAGCACAACCCAGATATAACTGCACAGAGCTGAGGAACAGCATAGCTGTAACAGCACCAACCTCAGCACAAGCTACAAGGCGACATATCGGAGCTCTGTACTACCACAGGTTCAGGTAGACAGTAGGATAAAGCCAGTCTATGCTGCCTATGGCACACAGCCTTCACCACAACATAGAAACACCCTAAAAATCACAGGGGTGGGAAATACTTTTTTGTTTAGCATTTACAGAGCATTTCAGACTTGCTGTGCCCAGAGAAACAAAAAAAGATGAGCCTACTATTGTCCACCCAAGGAGTGCTCACTGGAAAAAGGAAGGTTTACTTGACTGCTGGATCAATCATCCAAATTCCTTGATGGATTGGGACAGGATGCAGATTCCCATGAGGAAATCCAGGGCCAAACATGCTAAGCAGGCCACAGCTCTGATCAACCACGGGGCTTTGAGCCCCAGCAGAAGGGCAGGTTTGCAAAGAGACAGGAGGAAGCTGTAGTGTGACACCGCTGGCTCAGCATCTCCAACCTTGGTGCAAAGACAGCCCTGCCAGCGTATGGATGCCTACACAGGAGTGCACAGAGCTTCATCCACTCACTCCTCCTCCCAAGGAGGGGCAAGGGTTCCACTACTAGCTAACCTCCTGACTGGGAGAGCAGTGGCTGCAGGGCTTACCGGTGCTGGTGGTCTGAAATGGCTCGGCATTTTCCTGCAGGACATTTTTTCTGGCTGCACTTGCACAAAGGCTCTGTTGAGCAAACCGCTGTCATTCTTCCTGCTCGAGGAGGAAAGGTTCAGGGACCTCGACAGGAAATTCACAGGCTTCAAAGAGAGGGGGGAAAAAAAAAAGAAAAATTACAAGGATACAAGTTAACTTGCCCTAACAGTGTTGATACTTGGCCTGGCCAAAAGGCCAGTTAACAAATCCAGCCCTTCATCCACATTCACATGTACTGTTCAAAGGTAGCTGCAGGTGGCAAAGCTCCCACCTCTGCTTTGCACAGGGTTTCTTTGGAGCAGAAACCAGCTCTGCCCCTGCTCTGAGCACTGCATCCCTCACCTGGGCCCTTTTGAAACCGATGGTCTTGGGGAGGGCAGGCATATTTTGTGTCATATCTTCATCCACAATATCCAGGGCCAGAGACTTCCGGACCTTCTTGATGGGACTCCTGCGCAACTGAGGGACACAGAAATACAAGTGTCAGCACGAATCAACCCAGTGAACAGCCATCCTAAGGGCCCGGGGTGCCCACCAAGCACACGTCACCCCAGCTCTCCATTGCACCAGCACCTCAGGAAGAAGGCATGCTTCAGCCTTCCCTACCACAGGGTACGGCAGCTTCCAGAGCTCTCCTCCTGGCACCCAGAGCCACCGATTAAGAAGAGGAAGGCCCTTTCAAGAAAGGCCACCAGGGAACTCAGCCAATACACCTTGCATACCAGTCCACAGCCTTCTGGAAGCCCAACTTGCCACACATGCTCCAAGCGTGTCATGGGTGTCTCCTGTAGTTTAGGGACACAGCATCTCCTAGCATGCCCTCAGCTCAGCATAAACCAGTACACAGCCAGCAGTATTTTAAGTCGGTTTTAACCTCAGGCACCTCTCACTGATAAAAGGCAGCAGCCACAGACCAAAAACCTTTTGGCATCAACAGCAGGATGAACAAAACCAGTCAAAACACCCCTCAACAGCACAGGGCAGCTCAGCAGCAGGTACTAGACGCAAAGTCAGCTCACCCCTTGTTTCCTCTTCTGTTTCTCAGGCTTCACATCATCCTCTATGATAAGTTCGATGCCAGCTTCACTTCGGAGCACCTCTTTCAAGTCTTCTTCCAGGTGAGGAGTCTGGGGCTGGTGTGAAAAGGAAGAGAGCACAAGACAGTCAAAATTTGTATGCTGGCCAGACTCACAAGTATTTCTCTTAAGGTATAATGGGGTCAGGGGAGGCCACAGCGGGAGCACAAACACAAAAACAACTTACTTATTTCCCAGTTGGAAAAGATATGACAAGATCTCTGCTAGCCTGACAGATTTACAGGATCTCCAAGCATGAGACACTCTTATCAGCTGAACCCCAAATGTGCCATCAAGAGACCAGTATGCACAGAAGGCCTGGGATACTGGAAACTGCCATCCCCACAACACCTCCATTAAGAGACCCAGTTCCTCAAGGACGCCTAGGTAGATCGTTTCCTCGAGGTCACCAGTAGCCAAGCACTGCAGCCTGATTCAAGTGCAGTCTGGGTCATTTTTAGTTGGTTTATAGAGGAGCTAAAAGTCTTGTGGCTACTTACCATGACAAGGTCCCCTTCATCCCTCCCATCTCAACCTGGCATTACCAAACTGTACTTTGTTATGGCACAGACAACAGTTGGTTCACAGTGTCACTGCAGCTTACCCAACCTCCTATTTGCATTCATTGTGCCTCTGCCACCAGCAAGCATCAGACCTGCCCAATACTTACCAGAGGCCTAATTGGTCCATATTTCTCCAGGGCATTTTTGAAAGGCGTCGGGGTGTGAGGAGTGTTGTCCACCACATACTTCTGATCTGGTGTGACAAATCTGGCAGCAGAGAGCAGGAAAGATGAAGGATCAGACATGTTGTAACCCACACAAAGTAACCCTCATCCTTCCAAGCCCTCTCATTACACGAGCTACCTGCAGAGTCTTGCATGGCAGTAGCAGAAGCCGCCTGGTTGGGTTGTTCCTGGGGTGCAAGCGGGGCAAACAGGCATGGAGGAGCCTTTAGCAGTGAAAATATCCTTCAGATGTGCCAGTTATGCTGCCCCACCATGCCAGCTACCAAGCACCCTTGTCAGAAAGCAGTACAGCACCCTGACACAGGCAACATGCAGCTCTGCGGACCAGCCCTACTCTGCAATGCTTCTGCTGGTGGATCTTCTCAGGCTTAGCCTGGACTTGTGACAGTCACAGCTGGACCAGCAGTAGTCCTGGGTGCAAATGTACTTAGAGCAGCCAAGCCAGCTCGCACCGCTTGGACAGGGGAGCTGCTCTGGACGGTGCCAACAGCTCAGTTTTGCTAGCACAGCCAGCACCCCCAAACACTGTGCTAATTCAATCCACCAGCAAAACACTCCCTGTGCAGACCACCCCTTCTCACCTGCCTGATACAGTGCTTTGGGTAACCATTGCCCTGGACTGCCCCACAGGACAGGCAAAGCAGAGGGTGGAAAGCTAAATGGATGGATCTGAACAGCTCTTGTTGAGGAAATCAAATCCCTTCCCTGTTGGCACAGGGCTGACAGCACAGCAACGTTTCCCAGACAGAGACGTGCACAGAAAGCAACAGCCCACCCAGCAGCTGAGCACAACAGTGGTCAACTGGCTGCAGCCCCAATCAGATGAGATTCTTGTTCCCTGCAGCTCAGAGAGGAGCTGTCTTTGGGGGGGAAACACTGATTTATAAAGGAAATCCCCAGCCTGCCCCACCCCTCTCTCAGTACAAGTACTGGGGGAGGTAGTTTGAACTGGACCAGGCTGCTGTGTGGAAAAGGACGCTGTTCAGTTGGGGAGAGGGGAGGAGGAGGAAAGGACTTACGCTGAGTTCTTCTGGAGCAGAGGGGTCTTGTCCCTGTGCAGAGGGGTTGTGACAATCACCTTCTGACTGCACACAGGTGTGGAGGTCAAAGATGGGTTCTCCAGTTCTAGTGTATCCTGTTTGGTCCAAAAGTTTAAGAACTGCACAGCACAGGAAAGAAAGAAAAAGACAACACTCAGTCTCACGCATCCCAGCATAGTATCACAAGTCATAACTTTTTCCTAAATATGAGGGAAAACCTGAAGTAGGGACAATCCTCCCATACCAAGCAGCGCAAGAGGGATCTGTCCCAGTATAAACCAGGATGACTTCCACAGATTCATACCGTCTGTTCATGGACACCCACGTGAAAGTTGCCAGAAGATGCCTCACACCTACAAAGGTTAGCCATTTCCCATAAGGGATGAGCTGATATGACTATAAGCAGCTACTGGGTGGGAGAGAAATCTCTCCTTGCACTGGTCCAGGTAAGGCCAAGCAAAACGGTCAAGGAGAGGTAATGCCAGCCCACCACAGGTCTATTCCAACCTCAGGTTGGCAAACATGAGGGAAGTCCATGTAACACAACAGCATACAAGTTAACAGATTTTGCATTGAACTGTCTTCAGCCTAAACTGTGAGAAAAAGACAACTTGTCTCATCTCTGCTAGCATTTTACTTCACAACAGCTATTAAGTGACAACTTTACTCCCATAAGGAACAAGGTTTGTAGCCAAGAACCTTGTGTTACATTCACTGATGGCTGAAGCTCAGCCTGAGCAGCAGGACATGCTGCTTGCCTTCTCAGATTCCCTCCAGGCCTTCCAGCCTTTTACACCCTGCAGGGCTGTACATTTCAGGTCCTGCTCTGATTTTCCAGTTCTTGCTGGCCTTGCATTCAAGGTCCATCTGAACCTGAGTGTCAGGCTGTCCTGTGGCACTCTCCCATGCGCCAGCCAGGGCTGCACAAATAGCAGAAATAAAGGCCTGGAAGGCACATGTAGATAGGGTTTGAACAACAGAGCAGCTGTGGGAACTGTGCTGGAGAACACAGCGGCCTTTTATTCTGTTTTATAGACAGAACTCCACCACATCAATATAGAAGACACTAGTGAGTTTGAAGACCACAGTGCTCCAAGATGATGTATGTTGGAGACCATGTGTGCACATGTGTGTGGGCACTGTAGGAGTCATGACAAAGGCTGAAAGATCCTGAGTCCCTTTTGCAACAAAGACAAGCCCAGGAGCATCTTCCTAAGCACAGCAACCCAGAGATCTGCACAAAGTGTGTGCTGCCAAGCCTTCCTGCATGACTTAACTGGAAATAAACGGGGAAAGCCACTTTCCACTGTTGCCACTCTGCTACCCAAGGCCAGGGCAGCAATGCCCTGGTGACACAAGCCCCCTGCTGTCCATCGATCCTGCAGCAGGCAGGTGTGTAGATCTGCCCAGTGGTGCTCCTTCCTCATAGCAGGCAGATGCCCTGCCAATCACACAGGGTAGTTGGGCTTCCCTAATGCTGCAAGCCCTCCCAGAGACAGACACAGGCTGCTGCTCCCACAGAAAGGGCAGCACTAAAGACAAGCAGTGCCAGAAGTCAGCTCTGCACCTTATTTTAGGAAAGAGACACACCCTGCACACTGGCATTGCCTCATTCAGGGGAGGAGAAACCCAAAGCTAGCAGAGCTGATGGGAATACGTGGCATTAAGGCAAGTAGACAGAGCACTAACATGCTTATTAGCTCACAACCAAGCCTGAGCAGAGGAGCACAGACTGGGCACTGCCATTGCTCCATACCTGAGATGGAGAGAAGGGCAGTGTCTTGACGGGGGTGCTCTTGGGCGTCATGCTGTTGCATGAGTCAAGGAAGGAAAGACTGGTGCTGGTGGCGTTCTCCGTGACGGGGGAGAGAGAGATCTTCCTCTTCTTCTGCCTCTTCAGCACAGAGGGTGGTGTGCCAAAGCTCACCTCTGCGTGTGGAGAGATGGGGATGAGTTCCCCCTTGCTGCTTTTGCTCAGGTCGGAGATGGTGTGGCCATCCAGGCGGTACTCGGTCACGTTGGGTAGGGACGGTGTTGGCTTGCTGGGGGTTTGCCTCACCGGGCTGTTGCTACTACTGCTGCTGCCGGCAGAGGGTTCCTCAGGCAGGTCAAACTGGGTCAGATCGCACCACCCATCTGGGTCCTGCACAAAAGGGAAACCATCAGAAGCAGCCCAGGAAGGAAAGCTGAGCAGCTGACTGGTGCAGATGCAGATATGAACTGGGAGGTGAAATAAGAGGGTGATGTGAGACTGCACCAGCTTTTGCCAGGAGCCTGGCTAGAGGAGAGCTCAAGACCTTGTCCTCTCTGCTGCCAGCACAGCTCGGAACCAGATCAGGGAACTGACCCAGCTGAAAACTGCTGCTTGCATGTAGGGCAGATTTTTCTATTTACAGAAGGTTGGTTTCCCAGTTCAGTTCACAGCACAGCTGCACAAACACCTGCACACCCACAGAGAGGGGATAAAAAAAAAGCAGTTGGGCATAGGTCTGGGGACAGGGCCTGAATGAAGCGACTGTTACCCAACACCAAACCACAGTCTTGTGCACATCAGTACAGCTCTGCCATAACACCACTGCTGAAAGCAGATTAAAAATAACCAGACCAGTTCAGAGATCAGCTGCTTCACAGCTCAACCCCACCAATACCGAAAGTACCATACAAGCAGGCCCTTAAGGACCCACAGATGGGCTGTCAAGCCTTGGGCAGAGATTCTCTGTCCTCCTATACAAATGCAAAGTGGATCCTTCACAGATAATCGGCTCATAAGCTCCTCAAACAGGCTGAGGGCTACAGAGACATTTCCCTCTGACAGCAGCAATCCCTCTGATTCTAGCCAGCCTGCTGCCCTGGCATGTCTCTGTCACCCTGTGGACCTCAAGGGTAACTTCAGCGCCGCTCGACTGGCCCAAAATTACTAGTTTCAGCGAAGCTACCGCCACTGAAAGCAAATGGTGGCATCATCCCAGTGTGAAGGGGTCTGTCCTGCATGCTACAAGTGGGCCTAGCCTATTCCCAGTCTGTCTTGTCCTATCCCATTCCATAACAGAAGGGAAAGGAAAGCTCATGAGTATGGGCCTGAGCCGTTATGAAAGAGAGCTGGGGACACTCTGGCTGATAAAGGAGAGCTTGAGATCAGGTTTGCCAGCATCTACAGCCGCCCACACCAGAAGAGGCCATGCACAAGGACACACAACATAGGGGAATCTGCAAGCCCAGAGCAATACTTGCAGAGCTGGAAAAGCCTAATCCAACCCTGGAGAAGAGACAGTGGGAAGCCACAAGTCAATGACAGACCCAGTCCTCCTCAGGATGCCCATGGTGATGAGCAAGGGGACCTAGTAAGTTCACCCAAGGGAAAAGGGTGGGGGAATCAGTCTCCCTACATTAGCTGGAAGAGCAAAGGTCTGTTACTTACGGATTCAATCATGTCCAGAGCTTCATTGAGGGCTGGCACAGATGTTGGGTACAAATAGTTGGCAGCTTCGACAACCCATTTGTATGGTGATGTGACAAATGAAGAGGCATCCTCAGGCACTGCATCATCTGGGGTCCCCTCAGCGTTATGCTCTGCCAGTTCAGCAGCTGGCAGCTCTGAGGGTAACTCCTGTACACCCGTCACTTCCTCATCACTGACATCCTCTTCCTTTATTTCAGATACATCGACTGGCCAGTTCGGCAGGACGTTCTTTGTGCATACAACAAAGAAAGTCCAGCCATTAGTAGAAGCCAAGGGAATAACGTCAAGTCCTGGGGACAAAGAGCAAGGGTCCCCGGACACATTCAGCTCCGTCTGCTCTCCTACTTGTCATTCAGTTTATTTTACATCCCCATTCTCCCTCACTGCTCTGTCCCATACACCATCTGCACAGGAGTCCATGCAACCTAACAAGCACAGGACTGTTTAACTGAAGATTTCACTTAACAGCATCCCAGGAGAAAGTTGAACAAAGGCTGAGCAGGTAGCACTAATTCTGCATTTCCTACTTTCCAATAGCCTGCCTTTGAAAACTACAGGCTATCTTCATGAAAAAATAACTGGGTGTACTTCCCGCTTCCTTTTTTAGAGGAAAGGAACACAACATCTCTTCACCATGCCCCCCACATTGAGTGGAGCAGCCTTCTCCCACCAGCAACAGCACAACAGAGCCAAAAAAATCTTCAGTCTCCAAGACAGACCTGATGCTGGGATTGGCAAGATAACAGCACTAGCAGACTGTTGTCCTCCACTTGAGCTCACATTAAATCTCTAGCTCCTGGAGGGAGAGCTCTCCCAAGAGTCAGTCTCCTGGAGAAGGCTCGGGGAAGACACAGACTGTCTACATATACACCAGGCTGTGGCAAAGGCAGCGTGAGAGGCAGCAGAAAGGTGGATGAACAGCTCTGATACGCATTGGCAGAGCAGGGGACTGAGCCAGCTGCCTGCTGCAAATGTGCTGGTGCAGTACCTGGCTCCCAGCTCTCGTTCGACTTTGGCTCTCCTTGTCATCCACCTCCACAAGCAAGTACAGTGACTTGGACTCCTTGGTTTCATTGAGGAAGCCTCCTGTGTCCACCTTTCGCTTGATGGTGGAGTTCCAGTGATTCTTTACAGCATTATCGGTCCTGCAGAGAAAGCAGAAGGAAACAGAAAAATGACAGCAGCTTTAAAGCACAGCTAACAGCTCCTACACACTCTCCAGCCCCATCCTGTGAGCCCAACGCATGGATCTCCGCAGGCCACCCAGTTGAGAAGGCACCAGTGAGCAAAGACATCCTACCTCCCAGGCAGCAGCTTGGCAATCTCCGCCCAACGATTCCCCAGGACCTGGTGGGCCTCAAAAATGATGCGATCCTCTTCCTCTGTCCATGAGGACTTCTTCACCTCAGGGTTCAGGTGGTTATGCCAGCGTTCCCGGCATTGCTTCCCTAATCGCCCTTTCAGGTGCTTGGCTATCAGGGTCCACTGTTTTGTGCCGTATTTTTTAACCAGTTCAATTACCTTTGAATAGAGCAGGAGGGAGATAAGGAAATGGAATAAAGGAGGGCAAGGTCAATACAGTCATCTTCAGGCTTTGCTCTTGGGCCCAGGAAAGGACAGCCAGAGAAAGGCCCCTTAGGAGAAAAAGCTGGAGGGATCCAGCACTGACAATTAGGTGTACCAACAGTTGTGAGAGCAATGATTCAGCTGAATCTCTGAAAGAGGCTGTTTCCATGCAGACATTTTGCTACATGGCACCCGTGAATGCAGACGACCGCTCACAGAAGATGGGGTGGAGACTGGCAGGTGTATCAGGGACAGAGAGACACAGATTTCTGAGCAAGGGTCATGCCTATTTCTGAGCAAGGGCCAAGTCCCATGTGCTCCAAGGCTCCTCTGCCCTTCCTCTTACCACAGGCCCAGCTGCATAACAACAGCGCCCGTCAGCTCTGCATTGGTCTGCCCGCTGGGTGCAGCCTCTCTTTAATAGAGTCCGCTGCTTCAAAGACATGCCAGGGCTGCAGCTCCATGCCCCGCTAGCACCAGGATGCACAGTGAGAGCTCCAAAGCATAAACAAGCCATATTCACTTAAGAACCATTCACTTTGTCACTTCCTTCACCCAGGGCTTTGTCACATCTGCCTGAGGCTCAATGCAAATGCTTTTGGGCACGGAATCTGTTCTGAGCCCCTGCAATATGTCCACGTCACAGTCAGGACAAAACAATCTACTGCTTGCAATGTTCAGCCCACCAAAAAAAAAATCTTAGAGACAAGGCTGCAGAGTTCCTCAAAGAGCTTTTCTACCCTGGCCAGCTGCGCTCAGCTGAAAGGTGCAGGTAGACAGGTGATGATGCTCACAGTGCTCTTGGCCTATAACAAATATCCCTACCACAAGGCTATTGACTATCAAGCACAGACAAATGGACCAAAGACACCAAACCGAGGCACAGGCCAAGGAGCTGGAGTGCTTGCAGGGCAAAGCAATGTGTAGTGCCAAGGGGAAAAAGCTGGAGCCCAGCCTGGCTAGGATAGGTGGGTTGGCAGAGTCAGGACATGCAAAGGGAAGGGGAGAGCAGGCAGCAACTGCTCTGCTGTATGAAGGTGGAAGGACATCACGAGAAGCTTCCTTAGGATGTGCTTGACACAACACACAGATGGGAGGCAAAAGAGACCGTAACAGCCCGTACTGATATCAAAATGGAAAGAAATGGGGGAGAAGCATTACAGAGAATCTGACAAACTAGGGCATCGTGCAGCAGAAAACCTTCGTAAAAGTTGAAATTAATTCCAACTTTTCTTAAGCACATCAAGATGATGAGTCTGTCTGAGCTAGCCCCTCTCAGCTCACTCTGGAATCAGCAGAGAAACAGGCTCACAGAAGTCACGATTCACCCAGTCAACCTCAGACATCTACTTCAGTCTGTCTACTGTGGCACAGGAAATGCCAGTGTTACTTTCTCTTAGGTCCAACATGGCTAGGTCAGGTGGAGATCTGCCAGCAGGCAGATGAATTAATTCCCTTTTCTGCTCTCTCCCTTGGCAGACTACTGTAGCAGCACAGTGTGAGAGGGAGAAGGTGTTTAGCTGAAGAGGCCTAGACCTGCTCCAGCACATCACAACCATGGCTGCATTAGGCTGCTCAGAACAAGTCAGAGTGCTGCTCTCAGAGGTATCCACCATCGGAAAGAATAGCCACAGTTTACAAAAAGACCCGAGGGTCTAACACCTCCATCCTCTCTGCAAACAGTCACAGTCCAACACTCAGATCCTCTCGGCCCTGACTTACCTTTTGGTCCTCCTCTTTGGTCCAAGGGCCCTTAACCAAGTCTGGATTCAACACTCTCAACCACCGGTACTGACACTGCTGATCGCTGCGGTTCTAGGAAAAGGAACGAGAATAGTGATGCATTAGACTGGAGGCTTCAAAAGCCCGTATAGCAACAGCAGTCCCCACACACACAGGCTGTCCCACAGAAAACCTGCAGAAGCACATGGAGAATACATACTATGACTAGGGCACTGGGTACAGAGCCAAGAACCTCAATTTCTCACCCCAACTCTAACAGACTCGCCCTTGAAAGTCCTCTGTACAAGAAGGATGTCTCCCTGCCCTGAAGGAGCACCGTTTCAGAGCCTGGAGTTGCAGTCACAGAACAGAGTCCCACTGTGCAGGTGCTGCACAGAGATGGAGAACCAGCCCAATGAGCACAAGAAGCAACATGCAAACATTACAATTCCCAACTGGGTAAGGGGCCACTTACAGGAAAGTGACTGGCCAGGAACTTCCAGTCATTCTGCCCGTAGTGTCTTACTAACATCTTCAGCTGTTCATCCTGTAAAGAACAAAGACATCTGCTTTCACATACACTGAAGCAACACATGCCACAGGCACCCCTGGGCTGATGGCATCAAAAGAACAGGCTGGATATTTTGAACTGACAAGAAGCATTTTTTGGCATTCTGCATTCAGGAGAGGAAGGTAGCTCATAACGTCCTTTAGCAGCGCTCCAGTACATGGAGCCCAACTGGAACAGACTGATTCTGGGCTCTGTACTAGGGTGAGCTCATACAGTGAGTACAAAACGAGAGCTCAGCTCTGTTCCAGTACAGTCTGGTTCAAATACTGTGGCCAAGGCTACTTGCTTATCCAGCCCCAGTACTCCCCTGACCCGACAGCCCATCTCCCAGATCAAACACTGCTTTTGCCTGGCCAAGAAAGCTGTCTGGTTGAAGTGTATCACCAGTAGCCCAGTGGTCTACTGTTTTTCAGTGCTACAGTGCTTCACAGCATTTCTCTCATGAACCTTTCTATAGCGCAGGTGTGTCTATGCGTAGAGCTCACAAAAAGCCTGCTATAGGTGTCGTTGCCTGTGTGCTCTGGCTGGGCAAACAGAGGCATGAAATAATTCCCTGCCTAAAATGAGCCCGGGGCTTTGAGCCTTGCACAAAGACCACCTTACTTGGTGTTCAGACCCCAGGGGAGACAGGACATCTTGTAGTTTTCACACAGGACAAAGATGATGGGAGAAGGGAAGAGAATATCCCATCTGAATTCAGGCTCTCGGCCAGGATGACTAAGCCATGACACCAACAGTCTCAATGCTCCTTGCTCTTGCTAGAGAAGAGGGAGGACATTTCCACTGTGCAATTCAGCTTGCTGGAGGCCTCAGTCATCCTCTGGAACCCCTCTTTGCTCACAGGAGTGCTGCAGGCAGCAGATGCCTTGCTCAGGGCTCACATGCTTCAGCTAAAGTGGTTGGAGTTGTCACTCTCCAGGCTACACTTCAAACTCCCTTGAACCTCCTAGCCCCATTAAGGCCTCAGCTCACAGCAGCAAAACAGACACATGGTCTTCTCCAGCAGCAAGACAGCAGGAGGTGGTGTTGTGGCCAGCAGATGAGAACTGGGGTGGAAGCACCCAAGCCCCGAGTGCCATGTCAGAGCCCTACCCCAAAGGACCGGCCCTCGGCAAGTGCCATGCTCTCACTCACCTCTTCTGGTGTCCACTTGACTTTGCACCTGCCGTCCCGCTGCTCCGGCACATCCGAGTCAGTATCCTGGTAATGCAGCTCATCCTGGTCCTCACTAGAGATGAATAAAGAAAGAACACAATTTCCACCTCTGATAAAAATGCAGCAGATGGAGCAACCTCCACCAGACAGAGCAGAGGTCCAGAGAGCAACCCGCACTGTGCAGAGAGGAGCTCCAGATCTACTCTCTTCCAGTACTGAGCCCCGACACCTCACAGACATTCACTCAGACACCCCAGGTTTAAAGGAGTCCCTCAGCTTTGGACTCCCAGTGCGTGCTAGCTACTTTTATGCCGCTGAGAGAAAGGGAAGGAGAGTTTCTCACGATTTCTGCTCCCTTCTGTCCTCCAGGGAGGACTTTGCATCTAGGGACTGGCACCATTTCCTCTCCCTACAGCTCACCAGTTTCCCGGATTGCTGGAGTAAAGAAAAGGGACGCGAGAAGCAGCCAGAAGCCGGCTAGTGCTGGGAGAGCAGCCCCAAAGGGCTCTGTCCATCACCCACCCGCC